TTTGAGCATAAATCAAATTTATTGATATACAAACACACCCTTAAAGTTGTTTAATGAGAAATTTATACTTATATTAAAAGCCATACTATTTACCAAAAATAGTAGAAAGAAAAGTTAACTCACATTTAATGCATACTTTATTTAGAAATTTTTTACTATATGCATTAATTGTTTGCATATATACATTTCCTATTCAAAAATGATCAAAAAAAATTCTTTCCTTAAATAATTTTATTAACTTCTGCAATGATTTTACTGATATATATTATAATTCATATTTGTCGATAGTATTTTTTAATTTTTATTTGAGTATATAAAAAACAAATATTTTTTTATATTAATATTTTATTTATCATTTAAGAGATAATGATCACATCATTAAATGATATTACTGATGGCTAGATAATAAATTAAAATATATTAATTATTTTTAAATTTTTGGCATGTTATTTATTTGTATCTATATTTATTATATAAGGTATCCTATTTACCAAATTTAGTAGATTAAAAAGTCAACGTAATTAATGCATTGCTATTTCTATTCAGAATTTTATTTAATTATTTTATTTATTTGTCTTATATCTCATAAAATCAGTTTAAGAAAAAAAAAATCCATAACATCTGACAAGTAAAAAAAAAAAGACGTAAAATCTTTACTAAAATAAAAAAAACTTTATTTATTTGTCTTATTACATATTAACATTGATTTTGTCAAAATAAATCTCATAAAATCAGTGAAGTCAAAATTTGTACGTAAAGTCTATCTATCCAAAAAAAAAAATCAAATTCAAAATTCCTTATCTAATTCCTTCTTTTTCTTATCTAATTCCTTCTTTTCCTTATCTAATTTTTTTTTATTATCTAATTTTATGAAAATCTGTTCTGATTTTGTTCAATCCTCTAATTGTATTTGTATTATATTCTATAAAATCGGTTTAACAAAAAAAATCCCATAACATCCGATAGTAAAAAAATAAAGTACATAAAATATTTACTAAAATAAAAAGGCTTTATTTATTATCTAATTTATTATCTAATTGTATGGAAATCTGTTCTGATTTTATGGTACGTACTACAAATTGTGCACCCGTGTTCAGGAGCTACTTAACGAGCAAGCTTTGTGGAAATGACTCATTTAGTGCTTCTGTCCCGTGCATACGGTATGTATTTTTATTACACATACTAGAAAATTGTGCACCCCGTGCATCGCACGGGCTCTGTACTAATAAATGACCTTAAAATTGTGCACCCCGTGCATCACCCGTGTTCACATTTTGGCCTATTACAGGTCACGTACTATATATATCCCGTACATCTTTTTTATTCATTTATATAATTATAAAAATGGATAAATGACCTTCAAAATTGTGCACCCCGTGCATCGCACGTGCTCTGTACTGGTAAAAAACTGATCGTGCGTTCGGCTCCTTAAGGCTCAAAATCATTTATAGTTCATAGCCCAACTTTACTTATTTTATTTTAAATATTTTTTTAATATATAAACAAAATTCCACTTAACAACTAATTATATTATATTTTTTAAAAATTACTCTAATTAACAAGAAAATAAAGTTTGATTTGAGCTGATATTTTTATATCCCTAAAGCCTATAGATGAGATTGCAACCAGAAAATGAAAGAAAAAGACTGGAAAAAAAAAAAAAA